GACGGACGGACAGACTGACTGACGGACAGACTGACGGACAGACTGACTGACGGACAGACGGGCGGACAGACGGACGGACAGACGGACGGACAGACTGACTGACGGACGGACAGACTGACGGACGGACTGACTGACAGCATGAAGTCGCGGCTGCAGAGTTGCCCCCCGTCCCGCGGCGGAGCGGAGCGGAGCGGGGCCGAGCGCGGGGGAGCAGCGCGGTGCGTGTGCGGGCGGAGTTGCGGGTCGCGGGGTGTCTGGGCCCTGGGGCGCGCTCTGATGCTCGGCTCTGCCCTAGGGCAGGATGTGCAGCGCTGGAGGTCGAGCCCGGCTTCAGCACAGCACGTAATGGAGGCAGTTCTGCATCTCTGAAAGGGCTCCCGGTGTCTGCTGCGACAGGGAACGTCACCTGGTAGGTGCCTGTGCTTTGTTCCTGAGCTGCTCGGGCTCCCCGGTGGGTCGAGGAGTTAACGGAAGGATGGAGAAGTTTTCCTTTGCTGAAAGTGTCGGATCAAAGAGGGAAGGCTGAGATGTCTCTGGGTCTGCAGGCTGCCACTTCTGTTTAGAACAGAGCTGTACAGAGAGCCTGTTGGCCACGCAAAGTGCACATAAACATCAAGTGGGTTTTGTGCTGAAACTTGTTACGTGAGAACAAGCCTTCCATTAAAGGTGGGGATGAGAGAGGAATTTTAAAAGCTGTGCTGTTTGTTTTGACCAGCGGTCTGTTTTTTATTTGTTTCTGCTTAGAAGGGTTTCCTGCAAAGAAAGGAGAGCTTGTGAGAACTTCCAGAAACCCTGTTTAAAACATCCTGCGTGGTGCAGACGGTAGGAGTGCCCTGAATCAGGGCCTCTTGGGGCGAGCCTGCATCACTTAGAAAACCCTTTTGTTACTGCCTTTAAACGTTGCCAGCCAGGCAGTCTGTTTCACTTGTGGTGTTAAATTAATTCCCCTGAGCCAGTTAGAAGTAGATGCCATTTTTTATAAGGGAAGTTACGTGCTTTTAACTTCAGGCTGGTGCTTCTTTGTGCTGGAGTGAAAAGCCCTCCACTGTCACATTCAGTTAATCCTCTGATTGTCCCCAAACTTGTCTTTGTAAAACGTAGCAGTTTGAGGTCGAGCTTTTCTTTGTGGGGCATACTTTTGTACTCTTGATGTTTCTTATGACTCTCTTCTGGATCGTTTCCTCTCTTGCAACACCCTTGAGATGCAGTGTGTGTTTTAGCTGGACTCAGTGTGCTGGTGTTGAGCCTTAATTGCAGTAATTTCTGTTTATGTTGGTTCTGATTGGACTAGACAGTATGTATCACTGATGTATCACTGCCTACCAATATATCATTGGATACTGTCAGAGCTGTGTATTGAACAGTTCTGCCTCCTGTAGGTTTCTCAGTACTGAAGAATTTCTATCGAATAATGGACTTTATCGTGTTGTTAGGATTCCTTTTGTTCCGACTGTTTCTTGTGTCTTTTGCTTCACTGAGCAGTCTGTAGCATTTCACTTAAGTTTATTGATATCCCTGAGCTTTCACCCTGCTTTTCATCTGCATTTGCTTCTGTGTAGTCTGATGGAAAGGATTAAATTTGTGCTAATTTTTCCATCTAGTTACAATTAATCTTTGTGACCATTTTGTTCTAATGTAACTTTTTAGAAGTTGAGTCTTATTTGAAAAACAGTCCTATGCCTTGCAAGGCAGATTCTTTCCTCCAGTTTGAATTAGGGATTTTTTCTGGCTTTACAAAACTGGAACTTTTAAAGCACCTAGTACATATAAACTAGGTTTTGTTCTGTGTGCACATAATAAATATTAGCAAGGCACAATCACTTGTAACTAAGCTATGGCTAACCTTTATTTTGGTCATCAGTGTCTCTTTACCTGTCAAGCTGAGGTCTAATACAGAATTCCACGGTGTTGAAATCAGTATTTTGATGTTTTATCATTTTTTTAGAAATCCTGACACTTGCAAAATGAACAGAATTATCTTTTTAGTGTCTGTTTATTCTATTAAAGTCCCATGTAGTAACTGTTCTGGGGTCAT